TTGTTAAAAAAAAAAAAAAAAGTTGCCATGGAGTCCATTCTGACACATGGTGACTCCATGTGTGTCGGAGTAAAACTGTGCTCCACAGGGTTATCAATGACTGATTTTTTGGAAGTAGACCACCAGGACTTTCTTCTAAGGTGGGCTCAAAACACCAACCTTTGGCACCTTAACCATCTGCACCACCCAGGGAAATCTCACAGATCTTTAAAAAAAAAAAAAAAATTGCCAATGAGTCGATTCCGACTCATAGTGTTAAAGTAGAGCTGCCCCATTGGGTTTCCAAGGAGCGGCTGGTGGATTTGAACTGCTGACCTTTTGGTTGGCAGCTGAGCTCTTAACCACTACGCCACCAGGGCTCTAAGACTTTACCATATGGTAATTCCATATAGTTTTAAAGGGTTTTTGGTATCCATGGTCTCTTATTAAAGTATGGCTGTCCCTAAAGAGATTATAACGTGGTTATTCCTCTCTCTTGGGGAATGGTCAGTCAGATTTCCTTCCAAACAATTTAATGAACCCCCTAGGGTTGGAGTTCCAGTAAGGAGGAGAGAGCCAGGTAAAAGGGAGGGAGCAAACCACCAAATGTGAACCAACTTCAGGACTGTGTCAGGACCTGCTGTGTTTTTTCTTTTTTTCCTGTAACCTGGTGACTCCTTCCAAGGTTTGCTGAGTTTTCCACTGCTTTCCACAGGGACTTACTTGCAGAGTTTCCAAGACAATGAAAATCAAACCTGGCTACATGGGAACAACGATTCCCCATTATGATGTGCAGGTCTGTTCGGGGCACTAAGCGGGGAGGGGAAATAGGGAAAACATTGGGGATTTTTCCAATAATTTATTTATTGCATTGTTTATTGAAAAAATAATAGCAAATAAAGATATTAAAATAATAGGAAAAAAAGGAGTAAGGAAGGGAGGGAAAGAGGGAGGAAGAGAGGAAGGAAGGAAGAGAATGGAAGAAAGCAGAGAAATGATTCACACTCCTACCGTCTAGAAAGAACTACTTTGAATATCTAGCAAATTAGCAGCCTAGTTAGTTGTATAAATACATTCATTAAAAAAAAGAATAGAGGTGAATCTTTACATATTTTTAACCTGCTTTCGTTGTTTAACAATTTTGGAAGACCATTTTTCCAGGTCAATGAATACGGATCTCCAGCATGATTTTTAATGGCTATATTAAAATAATGGCGGCTTGGTGGCACAGTAGTTAAAGTGCTTGGCTGCTAATCGAAAGGTCAGTGGTTTGAACCCACTAGCTGTTCCGCGGGAGAAAGATGTGGCAGTATGCTTTCATAAAGATTACAGCCTCGGAAACCCTGTGGGGCAGTTCTACACTGTCCTACAGGGTCGCTATGAGTTGGAATCGACACAATGTCAGTGGGTTTGGTTTTGGTTTTTCGGGTATATTTAAATAGCCATTTTGTGGTATGTGGTAGGATTACACCAGTCTTTATGCCCTTTGTTGGTCAATAGATTATTTCCAAAATTTTCACTAATAAAAGCAAAACTACAGTGAATATACTTGTAACTAAAGCTTGCTGCTTCCCTTATGATTTTTGGGGAGGCATAAATTCCAAGAAATAGAATTTAGGTTCAAAGGGTATGTGTATCTAAACTGTAACAATTTATACTGCATTCAGTGTTATATTTAATTGCCTGACCCTCTCCCCCAACCACTTAAACCAAAACCAAACCAAACCCATCGCCGTCGAGTCGATCCTGACTCATAGCGACCCTATAGGACAGAGTAGGACTGCCCCATAGGGTTTCCAAGGAGCAGCTGGTGGATTCCAACTACCGACTTTTTGGTTAGCAGCTGAGCTCTTTTTTTTTTTTTTTCCCTCTTTTTTTTATCGTTGTAATTAAATGAAGTTTACATTTCAAGTTAGTCTCCCATACAGAAATTTTTTTTCATACATGTTTATGAAACCCCAACCTCTCATCCCATTCCGCGACAGCACACTCCTCCCCTCCGCCCCTGATTCCCCAT